TACCTAAATGTGTTTAAAATAAGAGCCTTTGCTTTGGGGGCATCACCTGATCCATTATGTTAGATGACAACAAACGACCAAGAGTGACTTTGCCTTTCAGAACAGGAAAGGTCAAATGTATGTCAAAGTCAAGGCTGTAGTTTATTTGAAAATGTGTGTTGGTGGCCAGCCCTGGATGGCCAAGGGCAGATGTACATGTCTGGGAGGATGGTCTGGGGACTGTAGAGCCCTCGATGTGCTAGACTGATTGACAGCCCTCAGGGCACTTTCTCCCCATGCTCCACCTGCTTATCTCGCCTCGCCCCACCTTGAGTAGGGCTCGCACTTCATGCCTGTACCAGCTGCACCCGAACTGCAGGTTTCATGTGTGCCCATTGTGGCTGGGGGCCAGCTGCTAGGAGGGGCATAACCATGGCTGTGTTTGCTCCTCCAAGGTCTCAGCGTGGGGAACATGTTCTATGTCTTCTCTGACGACGGCATTATCATCCTGCACCCCATGGACTGTGAGATCCAGAGGCACCTCAAACCCACTGAGAAGATCTTCATGAGCTACGTAAGTTTCCATGCCTAGGGCACTTCCCTGTCACACCAGACAGAACTGTAAAAGGCAGTCTTTCACCTTGGGTGTCATTTGATTCTTAAATTCCATCTTCTATGTGTGCTGCGGCTCCAAATTTGTCCCAAGGCCAAGAAAGAAACATACAAAGCATACAAGGCTGAGTTTGAACTCTCATTCCTTCCCCCAGTGGCCACTTCCATGCACTAAGCCCAAGGTGAGGCTCAGGGCGTACAGATGGGTTCTTGGCCTCCCAAGATGGTAGAGGAGGCAGCAAAGTGAACTGACAGCTGCCCAATGGGTGCTGTTAGAAGGATGTGCAAGGTGCCCTGGGACATCAAGAGAGGCTTCCCTAGACCTGGAGAGGACAAAGTCAGAGATGACTCCTGGGACAGGCAATATTTTAAAGACCAAAAAGGAGTTGGTGATGGGTTTCTAGGGGAACTGTCATGAGCATGGTGAACAGAGACAAAAAACATGTCATGTTCACAGAACCAAAAATACTCTGTATGCCTGGAGNATCTGAATTTTATTCATTCACAAATAAATGTCAGTGGCTGTTGCTCTTTACATGTTGCAGCTGAACCGCATTAAATATTTGAATGTCTTTCTGATCATATTTAGAATAATGATGAAAGCCATGAATTATAGGGTACACAGCCTGATGTGTTTATTGCCTGTAATCCATTTTATAGCTTTCTTTTAGGGCTTGAGTTGCTGAACAGGATAATTATAAGCTGGTTACAAAGACAAGACCCGAGTTGCCTCTCGGTTTACTTCTCTGGATCGGGGTTTCAGGGCTGGACCACAGGCCCAAGGCCAGGTGAGGGTCTTCTCTTACCAGCGCTGACTCTCGCCCACAGTGCCACCTGTCATCCGCGTCTATCCCGAGACACAGGCACAGGAGCCAGGGGTGGCGGCCAGTCTGAGATGCCACGCAGAGGGCATTCCTATGCCCAGAATCACTTGGCTGAAAAATGGCATGGATGTATCAACCCAGATGTCTAAACAGCTCTCCCTTTTAGGTAAGAACCGCCCTCAGTGTCTCAGTGCTGTTCCCATCAAGTTCAAGCTGGCACTCACCCCAGGAATGGAGATGAGAGATGTGATTTGTTTCTAAGTCAGACATGTTGGGAGTGAGCAAACGTCTCCTTAAATTTTCCTGCTATCTGGGCTCACCCAGGTCTTACAGCTCTCTCAGAGCAACAGTGAGAAGCTGTTCATCAGGTAGCACATGCCCCTCAGTTCATTTCAGCTGTGCTGGCCCTTTCTGGGCATATAATAGGGATGTTGGCTACACTCAGCCCTGCTTAGGGGCTGGGTTGTTAATACCAACACTCTCAGTAGCCCTGTGAAGAGAATGGGGAGGGTGTGAGTGGGGGTCCCAGCTGAGCAGGCCACCCTGAGCACTGCCCTTTCTGCAGCCAGTGGGAACGAACTCCACATCGGCAGCGTCCGGTATGAAGACACAGGGGCGTACACCTGTATTGCCAAAAATGAAGTGGGCGTGGATGAAGACATCTCCTCGCTCTTCATTGAAGACTCAGCTAGGAAGACCCGTAAGTCCACTCTTGCCTTTGAGCTCCTCGCTAAGCTGGTTGGGGTGTATTGGGAGGCAGGGAGGGAACTAACTGGCCAGGGCCAAAGCCATGAACCACACGCCCCTGAAGATGGGCTAACGCCCATATTCTTTATGCTCAAAGATGAGGATAGAGGGCACCCAGAGGGGAGCAGACCTTCCCTGGCAACCTAGATGAGTCTGGAAACACAGACAGGGAAGCTCTCTGGACAGCAGACAGAGAGCCCAGGACCACAAGGAAGCTCGCATTTCTTGGCCTCAGTTCTGCTTCCTACTTGCGGTATGACTGGGACCTCTACCCTCGTCTACAAAATCCCTCCTACTGTCCACCCCCCAGGTGGTGCTGCCCCATCATGGCCTGGGAGGAGCCTGCGCACACGTGCCTTTACTCCAGAAATGGCAGCCCGCGTGTCGAGGGTGCTCTCCCTTGTAGCCACTGCTCCCCCAGTGGGTCTACTGGTGTGATTTCAAGGACATGGTCATTGCACATGGTCTCTTACCCTTAGTCAAAGACTCCAAGCTGAGTCTTTATCATCTGAGTCTTTATCAGAAGTATTTCAGATGGTCTTGATAGGGAGCATCCTACCTGAAAATGAGTTTTCCTGGAAGCAATCCAGGAGGTCCGGGGAGGATGTTGCTCCCTCTTTATCATCCTTGCAAGTAGAGAGTCGCATTAGCTTCTGTGATCCTGAGGCCTGGTTACAAAGACTCGTGAGGAACTGAAAGGGTCCTGAGGTCTGGAAGCCTTTGTCCTGTCCAGAGTCCCCCCAGTACAACTGCGGGGTAGTGAGCGGGGCAGACTCAGTGTGTGATGGACTAGATAGCAGTGTCTCATGAATGGAATCACAGCAGGGGAGGTTCTCACACTGCTTTCTTCTTTTCCTCTCCTCGATCATGCTCCCACTTTCCTGAACCTCTGCTGCTGCAGTTGCAAACATTCTCTGGCGAGAGGAAGGTACCCAGCTGACTTGTTCTGTATTGTGCCTGTCATCACGTGTGTTTGTGGTTTTCCAATGGGCCATCTCTCCAGGAGCCGCCATCAGCTTTTCCAGACACCAAGCAGTCCCCACCAGTGGGGTCCATGTGCCAAATTGGATGGGAAGGGGGAGGTCAATGTCAAACTCAAGTGGCAAACAGGGAAGCAGATTTAAAACCTACTAGTGTCTTTAATGGAGGCTGGTGCATTAGAATTTAAAAATGGAAAGTTTCCATTTAAAGCTAATCGAAACCTCCCCTGAAGACGACCCATTGGCAGGGGCTCATGGTCAGATCTGGGCCTTAAACTTTTTTCCAATAGCTGATATTGGTATTGGGGTTTAGTGTGTACTCGTACTTTGAGGAAATCCTGAAGAAGAAAAGCTACCATGATTTCTGTAAATGTATATTTACATATATATTTTTTTAATGAGGCATTATTTAATTTGTATTTAGCGAACCATCTTCAGACATTAGGTTGGCCCATACAAATTGCCATTTTTGTACAGTTGGACAATTTCAGATGGTTCAAAGTATAGCAGGCACGTGTGGGAGCTGGGTTAGAGAACCTGGGCCACTGCTTGGGGTGATGTGCATGGGAGGACCCCAGCCCTAACTCTGACCCCCTCCCCCAGAGCAGAGTCCAAATTCCCTGTAAGGTCACTTCTCCAGTTCAGCGGGCTGGGGGTGGGGGGGCAGTATGAGAAGCAGCAAGAATGCACATGTGATGTCGGGGTTCAGCACAAAAGCCCCCCTTTAAAAACCAGCGTATTTCCTATCTGATTTTGCCTGAAGAACATCACATGGTGTTACACCCTAGAATGTGCATGTGTACACACACTCAGGACAGTTTCCTGAACGTCAGGCACTAAAGCTTACACAGGAAGTCTGGGAGCAAGAAAAAGGCAGAGCCCAGAAAGTGAGGAATTGCTGCCAATGGGCGTTAGGAGCCCTTGGAAAAGCAAGTCGCAGCAGCAGTCGCTGCTCATGGACAGTTGTCCCTTGATGTTGCCTGACACTAGTTCCTAGGCCACAATGCACACGGAGGGAGAGCTTTCGCTCTGTGTCTTTAAGGGGCGATGTTTTTCTATGGTGAGGTACTGCAAAGGGACTCAAGTTTCAAAAGTGGAGACCTGCAAAGGATGCAGGAGGCCCCCAGGGTGTGTGAAATGCAGCTACAGAGGCCCACTTAAGACCCACCGCTGCCTTAGGGCTGGTGGAGCTGCACTAATATNTTTTCGAAAAAGGGTGCATCTTATATATGGGGAAATATGGTACAGCCTACTGACCAAAACTCTGCCATCTACTCAACTTAAACCCTGTTGCTCCCTCTACCACATTCAGAGGGTAGGGAAATTTCCTAGATAAGCTACTATTTCTTTCCTCTTTAAACTAAGGGGAGTCAGAGAAGGGAGGTCTACTGGGTTCCAAGCAGCCCTCCGGGTATGCCTTAGCTAGACCCCATTTACGTCCTCCAACACCAGTGGCCTGATCTGTGACAATGCCCTTCTGACACACCCTGGAGCCCTCCCCGAGAACTACAAACAGAGAAACTGGGGGAATGAGTCAGATTTTATTATTGTTGGGTCTCTGTGTGCCATAGGGTGCTTCTGAGCTCATGTTATAGAAACAGCTCTGGGCAGCTCTGAGGGTGGGTTTATTCCATTGCCAGTTGTCCATTTGGCTTTCTCCGTGACCCCCCCCAACTTTACTCCATAAGTCTGTTACTAAGCAAGGACCCGCTGCCTGATGCACATAGGAGCCAACATGGTACCAGCTTTTGAGAAAAGAAAAGGCTTTTATTGCTAAGTCAACCCACAAGGAGACAGGAGACAAGGCTCAAGTCTGTCTCCCAGGTCAAAGGTTTGTGTTACATTTAAAGGAAGAAGCAGGGGAAGTTGTGCATATTCTATAGCGTTACATTATTGTAACATAGTAAGAGCTTAGTGCGAAGACGCTAAGGGATCACGGCTTTTTATGCATTGCATGTTTGTTGGGGTGGGGGATGGTATGTAATCTGCAGTAAATTTTGACCTGGTGACATTGAAAACTTGTTCTAGGGTGAATTCTTTCTCTAGTACACATGTGTGACTGGCTGACTGTATGATCTATGACCTTGCTCTGTTATCTCTGGAAAACAACTTAATCTCTCATTAGGAACAAAACAGGGCAGTTTAGACAGGTCAACCAAAGGAAAGACTTGAAACTCAGACTGAGTTGATCAGATGATTAGCAGCCTCCTGAGTTCCAACAGGAGTTGCAGAGTCCATTGTTTCTCACAAGGAGGCCGCGGGGTTTGTCCTTGGCCCATCCAAGCACAGATCACTAGAAACTTTGCTCAGGTTCCAGGATGGACACCACTACCTCCTTCTACATAAGCATCAATTTGTTCTACATATCCGGTCCCAGGAAAAGTCTTCTCTCTGCTAAGGTACTGGGACGCTTTCTTTTACAGACAATGGAAGCTTCCAGATAAATAGCTGCCCACTTCAGGAAGGGTCCATCTCCCACCTNGCCTGAAATGTAGCTACAGTGGCAAACCCCATGGAGATTCTATTATGCTTTCAATCTTATGTGGGTCCTTCCAGCCATCAGTTTTCGGAGAAGCCCCAGGAGGCTGTTCCTGGGGTCTGTGGTTGTGCAAGAACTTTGACCCCCCCCCTGGGGCCCCTAGGTTCCAGTGAGAAGTTTGCCAAGTGAGAATGTACAGAAGCGAAGGTCCTGCTGGGGGCTGAGATGCGGCACTCATGGGCAGCTGGCTTCGTCTGGCTCTGGGGGACAGGCTGCCCAGCACCCAGGATTCCCCACTGGGAGCTATGCGTTTCCTCCCAGGCAGGACCAGCTTCTGAGACGCTGGGGTCAAGCTGTTCGCGATGGCAGCATCCTTCCTGCCTGGAGCCCCTCTCAGCACAGAATCACAAGTATCTGAGGCTATGACATGGGTTCAAGGACCTCTGTCCACACCAGAAGCCACAGGCACTGGTACCGTCACCATGGGCCTGAGGCCTAAAAATTGCCTTCAGGGTCATTGAAAGCAGGTGAAATGGTGATTCCTATTTGCCTGTCTCACTGTTTTCTAACTCACTAAAAATGTACCTGATAGTCTAAGTCAATACACTGGTTTTCTCAGCATGGTAGAAAAAAAGGGAGTTTTCTGTATATCTAATTTTCTTAAAATTTATAGAAATCTTTTTCTTCTTCTACCTTTAAGAGTAATGAAGGGGGCGGGAGAAAGGAGGAGGGAGAACTCAACCCTCAGCCATCTTTGCCAGGTTTGCCTTTTATGGAGAGGCAGGGCGAGGGACAGAGCGCAGAGCAGGGGCTCAGGTCTAACCCAGCTCTGGCAAGTGGCTTGATCCAAGGCCCTCACCCCTTTGGACCTGTTTCTTTGTCTTTAAAATAAGGAGGCTGAACTAGCTGGTCCCC